CTCCATGAAAAAGTTATTTCCACCAGAAGTTTCTGAAAATGTAGTTGTTGTAGTGTATTACAACCAAAGGAGAAAGAGGTATTATGGATTCATTCTTGTTGTTAAGGGCGAGTTTTAAGATTTTGATTTTGATTTAGTTATTCTTGGAGTGTATATATATATATATATATATAGTCAATATATTAGCAATTTTTTATTGAAATTTTAGTTATTTTAAATTACTAGTTTTCTCGAATATATGTTATACGTTATTCGTTGATTTTTACTCGTTACAAATAATGTAGTATAATTTATATATTTAATTTTCTATTAATTTTTATTGTAAATTATAATTTCTTTGGAATAGTAAAAATAATATTTTGAATTGTTTATATTATTAAAAATCTAAAAGCATTCACAACATAGAAAAAAACATCTTATAAAATAATTAAATTAAAGAAAATAATAAATTTTCTCAAAATGAGGATTAACTTGATTTGGTTAATTATGTTGCGAAGATATTATATATTATAGATAGATAGCTATTATAATAATGAAAATGTATTAACTATTGTTTTAATTCATCATTTATAATTTTTGTTTTTTCTTTTCTTTTTACTTTGTGCTAAAATCTACGAGCATATAACTAATTAATTTTATTTTTTTTGAAAAAAATTTTCTTCCAATATACTATATGGTTTGCTAATATAATATCATATATCATAATTTTATATCATATACATATTTTTAGTGAATTTTATTTTCTATTTTTTTAATCAAAAAATAAATCTTGTTAAAATTAATAAGATATATCAAAAGTTAATAATAAATTATTTTATTAAAATAATAATAAATTAAATTTTTTTAATAAGTTATATATAGAAAATGATTATAGTCAATTAAATTAAAAATAATATTATATTCTTATTATATTCAATATGCATGTATCTTATATAGTATAATATGACCAATCAAAATTAAATTACTTTTATTTTTTTGATCAATAAAATTAAAATCCTTTGAGATATTATATTTTTACTACATTTAATATATACCTTATTTAGTATATAATATAATTTCTTAGTTTATCTAATAGAACTTATAATTAAATAGAAAATTACATGAATAAGGACCTTAAATTTTATAATTTTATAATTTTACACTATCTAGTCTGTATCTCCAATTATAATATATTTGACAAAAACCTAGGGCATAGATATTAATTACCCCAAAACTATAAAACCTTAGCGTTGGAGTTGATTCTTAAATCTCCTAGTGCAGGTTCTCTCCGGTTTGCTAATTTGCTCTATAACATAAATTTGTTACTTGGGCGTGCCTGGCAAATGCGGTTGGCTGTAGATGCTCCTATGGGTAGACACGTCATGTTTTCTCCACCAATTAGCTTGTTTTTTTGAGAGGTATGAAACTCTGAAGTACCATATTAATAGAAGGAATTTTCTCCGCTATTCTAACCAAGGAGCACAGGTCATTGGATAGGAAGATTCTGAAATTGCGGAGACTTGGATCGATCAAGTGGCGATCTAATCTATAAAAATACCCTCAATGTTTTGACCTGCGGTTAAGTAACTCTAAAATGACTTTTTTCCCTTGAGCATCTAAATTTTCAAATTTATATATATTAGCACCTAAATATAGGATTAGGGTTAGGAAAAATAATAAAAAATTATTTTTGTAGATCCATCTTACCACATTGGCTTAACTTAACCAATGACAAGTTAGGTGTAAACACATCCTTGAAAGGAAACCAAACTCTTCTCTCTTAATTAGGTTTATATTCTCGATCTCTTCCATGAAAGTGTCTATTTTGCAGCTTGCTCTCTCCTAAACTCATTAATTTATACCAGGCTTATGAAATTTGAGTAAAGTAATTTCTAATATCTTAATTTGATATACATATTGAAAACTGAAGAGCATTTCTAGAGGCTCTATTCTGAAGCTTTCACTCTCAAAATCACTAATCATTATGCAAAAATGAGACTTTAAAAGAAACCCGTTTGCAGTTGAGCAACAAAACCCATCAATTCAATTATTTCATGACACTTTCTTCGTTTTATTTTCATTCTCTTTCAACGCATCATCAAAATTATAAAAGAGAAATGTAATAAAATAAACCAATACTGAAAACAATAGAACTATCTCTTATCACGGATTTTGGATAATTTCTTTACTACTTCGTTTGGTGTAGATGAATTTACATGTTCGATAATCATGCATGGAATAAATCACAATTGAAGATTCATTTGTTTTTGTTTCCTAAAATATCTTTGAAATATAATTTCATAAAAATAAATAATAAATAATAGTTATATTTATGTTATGATATATAATTTTTTTATAATATTTTTATATTTTTATTAAAATAGAATACATAAAATAAAGATAATATTAATAAAATTATTACATTATTTAGTGATATAATGTTTTTATTAAAATAAATACATAAAATAAAAATAATATTAATAAAATTATTACATTTAATTTAGTGATATATGTATATTGAACTTGAATCTCTCTCCACAATAATAAACAAATGAAAAAAAGATTAAAATAAAAGATGAAAATATTAAAATATAAAACACAATAATAAGAAAGTATTTTTCTAAAAAATAAAATTTTTAAATGCCTTTCATCAAAATTTTTTAATTCACCAAATTTGATAGAATAAATAAGTTAAATAAGTAAAAAATTGAAAAAATGACATTGTAGAAGGAGAATCGTAGTTTTGTCTTACAAAGTTGAATGACTTAATTTTATGGAATTCATTTGAAAATTCTATCTATTTTTGTGGATTTAGTGTAATTATGTTCGATCAATAGAATTGAATTCCTAAAATTGAAATTTGTATATTTTTTTCATTTTAAACATAAAAACGTAAATTTCTAAATGAATTTCATAAAATTTTATAAAATTCATTTGTTCAAAAAAGGTACTAGTTATTTTGACATCTGAACAGAAAAATCAACGTTGCATTGATGACTTTTCCATACAAAAAAAATATGCGCTTCACAAAGATTGTCAACATGCACAATAGGAATTGAACCAACACTTGTTCTAATAATCTTAATCTATTGTAATTGACTAAACTGCATTTTAACTCCCTCAACTAGACCATAAACAAGAGTTGCATTTCTACTTTACTATCATCACCTATTACGTTACAGTTCAATCGGAGAACCAACTTAGGTAAACTGAGGTAATCAAAATGGCTCCATATGTTTTCTTTTGTTAAATCACCGGGCGTTCGGCACGACTATTTATTCAGATTTGGATTATGCAGAGGTCCATTATAGAGGCAACTCTCCCAATCTAATTTTTTTTATTTTTGAACTTTGAATATTGTTTAAAGGATCCAATGTCTCATCCCAGTGAACCAACTGATAATTGGTAAAATGACTCCTTTTTGAGCCTTTGATTAAGTTAACAGTTTTTGCCATGAGTCTTATTATTTTATTATTTTATTCACACCTTTAATCCTAATTTAATTTTAAGATGTTAATATATCTAAATTTTAAAATGAAAGTATATGGAGTACAAAAGTAAGTTTAGAATGATTATGCAGCAAGTCGAAAACTTGAGGTATTTATAAGTTAGGCCTTTTGAGAGGTTACATCCTCTCCATTGAATTTAAAAAAAAAATTTTATTAAAATAAATACATAAAATAAAAATAATATTAATAAAATTATTACATTTAATTTAGTGATATATGTATATTGAACTTGAATCTCTCTCCACAATAATAAACAAATGAAAAAAAGATTAAAATAAAAGATGAAAATATTAAAATATAAAACACAATAATAAGAAAGTATTTTTCTAAAAAATAAAATTTTTAAATGCCTTTCATCAAAATTTTTTAATTCACCAAATTTGATAGAATAAATAAGTTAAATAAGTAAAAAATTGAAAAAATGACATTGTAGAAGGAGAATCGTAGTTTTGTCTTACAAAGTTGAATGACTTAATTTTATGGAATTCATTTGAAAATTCTATCTATTTTTGTGGATTTAGTGTAATTATGTTCGATCAATAGAATTGAATTCCTAAAATTGAAATTTGTATATTTTTTTCATTTTAAACATAAAAACGTAAATTTCTAAATGAATTTCATAAAATTTTATAAAATTCATTTGTTCAAAAAAGGTACTAGTTATTTTGACATCTGAACAGAAAAATCAACGTTGCATTGATGACTTTTCCATACAAAAAAAATATGCGCTTCACAAAGATTGTCAACATGCACAATAGGAATTGAACCAACACTTGTTCTAATAATCTTAATCTATTGTAATTGACTAAACTGCATTTTAACTCCCTCAACTAGACCATAAACAAGAGTTGCATTTCTACTTTACTATCATCACCTATTACGTTACAGTTCAATCGGAGAACCAACTTAGGTAAACTGAGGTAATCAAAATGGCTCCATATGTTTTCTTTTGTTAAATCACCGGGCGTTCGGCACGACTATTTATTCAGATTTGGATTATGCAGAGGTCCATTATAGAGGCAACTCTCCCAATCTAATTTTTTTTATTTTTGAACTTTGAATATTGTTTAAAGGATCCAATGTCTCATCCCAGTGAACCAACTGATAATTGGTAAAATGACTCCTTTTTGAGCCTTTGATTAAGTTAACAGTTTTTGCCATGAGTCTTATTATTTTATTATTTTATTCACACCTTTAATCCTAATTTAATTTTAAGATGTTAATATATCTAAATTTTAAAATGAAAGTATATGGAGTACAAAAGTAAGTTTAGAATGATTATGCAGCAAGTCGAAAACTTGAGGTATTTATAAGTTAGGCCTTTTGAGAGGTTACATCCTCTCCATTGAATTTAAAAAAAAAAAAAAAAAAAAAAAAAAAAAAAAAAAAAAAAAAAAAAAAAAAAAAAAAAAAAAAAAAAAAAAAAACCCTAATCTAACTCCACCCAAAAACGCTGCGTTTTAATGAAAAAAAACAAAAACCCCCTAAATTGTTTCAACCCTCACGTGAGACGCGACCTTCTCCTGGCTATCCTTCTTCCTCAATCAGTCCACGCCTCAGTCAATGAATCCCTTATGTTCTTTCTGAATCGCAGCGATCATAACTAGCATAGGTGACTAGAGTTTCTCAAATTGTAGCTTTGCTTGAAGAAAACTGTTACTTTAGTTCAATGGAGTCATTGTTAGGATTCAAAGAGGAAGCCATTGTGTTTGATGCTGGTAACGAAGAGAAATCTTCGTTATCATCACCTTCTTCAGTATCTCACAGCTACAAGTTGGTGCCGTGGTTGAATTGGGAAGAGTGGGTATGGGTTAGAGATTTTTTGTTCTCTGATTCTCCTAAAAATATATCCTCTGCCCTTAAAAGGGTAAGACCCCATTATCTCTCGCTCTCTAATTAATCTGTTTGTTTCTCTGGAAAATTAATAATTTCTTAGAAAATGAAGAAATCTATTGGCATTCACAGTACAAATGGCTAAATCAAGTTCTCTGAGCATTTCTGCCATTAAAAATTAGATTTTTCTTTACTGTGTGTCATTCTGATAACTACATTTTCTCTCTTTCTTATGCTTTTTCTTTTATTCATGATTTGGTCGATGAGGCTGAATCATGAGTGAACAGAAAATCAAAAATATTAGTAGCAGTTGCTGTTCCATCCTTTTTTTTAATGGTTGTTAACTTGAAAATTTTAAGTTTATTTTTAAAGGTTACGTTAGTTTCTTTGTCTAAATTAACGAATGAGAAGTGAAAAGTGAAGTTTGAATATTGTGTATTTCCTATTTTTAAGCAGCTTAGCATTTTTTTTTCCTTAAAAAATTTTAGATATCAACATGGCGAAGCAGAGGATGCGTACCGGTGGTGATTGATATCACAGCTTCTATCATCGAAATTCAGCAAAAGGATCCTTTTTACAGGTAATTCTTTATTCCTAATTTGGTAGATTTAGGTGACAAACGTGGGTCTAATTTGTTCTGAACATATAGGTCTTGGCAATATTAAACGGAGTTGATTGTATTCTGCAGATTTTGATTTTATTGATGTTTTGTCGGGCGTTGCACTTCCTTTGTCTAACAGCAATTTGCTTTCATTGCTGGACCCTTTGTCATGTTCTTGCTATAAATAGCATCAGGAAAATAATAATGAAAAAAAGATGTAGAGGCAAAAATTACTAGAATATATGATAACCAAAGTGGTGTTTACAAGGGGTTTCTAGATCCATGGTTTCATTGCGTGTTTTTGAAACTCTTGTTTTATTCATGGATCAATTGCCCAATGAGCTTTGGATGGCTGCTACTGTTTGGATCATTTATGGCATTGTTCATTATGTTAATGGTTAGTTAAAGATTCTCTAATCAACACTTGTGTTGGTTTTATTTATTGCTGCCTTTGCTTTTTTTACTGGAGGGCAGTCATATCCATAGGTTCTTATCATGCAGTGGGGTTTGCTATGATAGATGAGATTGTCTTTCATGTTGGTGTGTGAGAAATAGGATTTCAAGGGTGTAGGATATGTGTGTTGAGCTTGTTTAAGGACTGGTTTGTCCATTTCTTTGTTTTTCTGCAGTCTTTTGTGGTGCAAACCTTGCTGTATTATTTATAAATAATATAATTCCACCCCCCCCCCCCCTGTAAATTATTTAATTAAATAATATAATTCCACCCCCCCCCCCCCCACCAAAAAAAACAAAAAAAGGTATTGTTTAAGATTCAAGTTTTTAAGCTTTTCTTTTATCTGTACAAGTTCAAATCAAAGCAAAAGGAATAAATAAAATATTCTTAAATGTAAAAAAAAAAAAAAAAAAGGGTATTGTTTAGATTTCAGTTTTAAGCTTTTCTATCTGTACAAGTTCAAATCAAGCAAAATGGAATAAATAAAATATTCTTAATTGTAGAAAGGACCTGCGAAGTGAGGCTGTACATTCAGAGCAAATGCTGGCTATGCTTTATTGCATGGCTATCTTGAGGTAAGTTTTCTCTTCTTCTTTAGTTCACTCCTAATTCCATTTTCAAAATGATGATATGTGATGCATTTCCAGCTTCAAATGCTTTTTAAGTTTTAACGTTATTTTTTGGCCATCCACATTTGTCATTATACAAAAGAATTTTCCATGTCATTGAGTATGAATTGTTTGATAAATAAAACAAAGCATAAATAAAAAGGAATAGAACTATAAAACTCAATAACTAGCTTCCAATCTATCCTCAGTCACTATTACTATGGAATAAAGGCTTTATGTTTCACCACCTAAACGTCATTAGGAATGAATAAGAGAAAGAAGATGAGTGGACTTCCAACGAAAGGTTCTACTTTTTCTTGTCCTTCTTCAATTTCCTCATGTACATGTTAATTTGAAGTGTCAAGAATTCATTCTCTTCAAAAGCATGAGGTCATTAGCTCATATTGAACATATAGCCATTTTCATGGCTTGCCACTTGGAAATCTAAGCCAAGTGTAAGCAAATAAGCTTGGCACTTAGTAGCTGCCAACATGGCAACATGCATGAGTTTCTTTTCTTCTTAGTTTTAAATTAACCAAACTGGGTGTCATCAGGCCGACTGAGCATGGGTGCCAATCCATTTGGTCGCCGACAAGTTTCATGGTATACAAAGAAATTGCAGATTTTTGTTTATTTATCAACTCCTATGATGTCTATTATTGGCTATCAATTTTATGTGCAGGCTGCATTTATCATTTATCTGATCACATGACCTAGTTTTCTGTGGCTCTGTGTGCAAATATAAACTGTTAGGCTTACATTGAGATTTATATTCTGAAGGCTTGTGAACTGTGTTGTTGAAAAGACACGGAAAAAAACTGAAATTTCAATTGCTGAGGCAGCTGGTGCAATTGGTATTCCACGTACGCTGATTGACGTTCGGCATGGTAAGCCTTTGCATTGCCTATTCTAGACAATAACTAATGTAGCCAGCAAGAAAGAAAATTAGGTACCATGTTCGATTTTGTTTTGGTAGTTTAAGTTCATATTTTGTGACTTATGTGCATTTTTCTAAGTAGTAGTAGAATCATAAGCTTGCAATTCCCTGAATTCTTCAGGGCTATTTTAGGATTTTAATGTAATGATGATTATGTTGCATTTTTGTATTACAACCCACCAAGCATATCGTAAATTCTTTAAAGTTTAAATATTGCTTATATGCTTGGAGTGCCAGATTATCTTTATCACAGATTCTGTAGCTGTACCATTAATTTGTTATGTAAAATATATTCTTGACACTTATTGGTTTGAATAAATTGAGAACTCATTTTTCTGTTTCTTGATTTTGCTCCAATCGTAGAGGGTTCTCACCGTGATCTACCTGCACTAACACTACTTCGGGATTCAGCAGTTAAGGTTTGTAAAATTTTGTACTCAGTTTGATGATTCATCATCATTAGTTACTTCACTTATTGGAGTTTTTTTTTTAATAAAACTGCTGTGTCAGTTATTTATGGTTTTGCTTTTTGGCTACTATTGGACTGAACTCCCTACTGAACCAGTTTTGTTCTTATTTAACCGGTAATTATTGTCTAGGAAATAGGTTAGGCATAATCCTTATGTTAATCTTCACTAATCTTCTGAACACTGACTTTTACTTAAAGATGTCTTCATTTTTGGGCATAAGAAACAAAAGAAGAAAATGATTTGCTTCCTGCTTGATGTAACTATATCTAGTGGTTGTAAACTTTTGACAGTGCTTGAAATGATTGGAACTTGTTTGAGGAAAATATTTCAATTCATCAATGGGATTTGTTATCATGGAGGTTATTATTATGCTTTATGGACTACCAAGTCGGAGAGGAGGAGTTGAACTAACATCTAATTCAATTCTTTGATCTATGGATTTGTGAATTTCATATAATTAATTTGGTTGGTTTCTACTTTCTAGGGATGATTGGCAGGTCATTAGTACAATGATTATGGACAAATTTCAAAAATTGTGGCCAAACATGAAATGATGTGATACTACTAGCTGATGCTCAAACTTTTAATTATTTATTTTTACTTTTACAAATAGATGTTTTATTTATGATTGTTTTCTTCAGTAATCCTTCAGATATTTTTATTCACCTAGAAACAGGGTCGTAAAATCAGCTGATATTTAATAGAATTTAAGGGATGATACACTGTGGAATTCTAACTTGGGTTGTTGTGAATTATTGGTGAGTTGGTTTGATAATTGATAAGCTCGGTGCCGCCCCTTAGCTTTGCTAATCTTGTAGAGTAATGGTTGATTAACTTTGTGGTAGGCAGAATTTCAGGCTCTCTAAATCTCTAGAAGGCATTGCAAAATTTTTTTGAGAATTAATATGTGATGGGTGTACTTTAGGGAAGAGAGAGGGACACTCTTCAGAGAGTAGGCACATTTCTGGTATGACCTTGCTGTGCCACATTGCCACTATTTATTTTTTTCACCGTGAAGGAGAAAGATATGATTTCTTATACATATTAGAGATCCTACTTTACATTGAAGAAATAGGAAAACCCAGACTTGCAAACTATATATCCCATAATGAGAAACTACCCTAGGCCAATGAGATTGTATTGTACTGAGAGACCACCTCCACCAAGGAACTGCCCCTGATTGGAGCTTTAACCATTGCTGTTGCTTATTTTTGAGTCTAAGATATTAGATATGTCAATCATGACCAGAAACTTGTAATTTTTTCTATACAATGTTCATTTATGTGTTAGAAGTATTATTATATTACAATTTGAGTTTAATTCTTGTTAAACTATGAATTTCATTTTTTAACTTTCACAAAAAGTTAAAAAAGATCATGATGGTTGCAGCCATAGAGTGATTGAATTCCCTAATATCTTGATTGGACTATTATGATTTAACTATGCCTGGAAGTTAAAATCAGGACACAAATTTCTTTGCTGTTTCACTTCCTTTTAAGAGGTTTATTTAATCTCTTCTTTCTGTCCTTTGTCAAGTGATTCTAAGTGTATGCATACTTGTCTTTCTAGTGGAAGTCTGGAAGACTCTCATATGTTTAAGTGCTAAACAAATGGGGACTACATGTTGATATTAGGCCCAAAAGGGCTAATAGATTCGATTGAAGGTTCTGCTTGGTCCCACAAAATGCTTTGAAGTTAATATGTATTTGTAAAAGTTAAACAGGACACATATTTCTCAGATGTTTGACTTCCATTTATGAGGTGTATTAAATCCTTTCTGCCGTTTGTCAAGGGAATCTAACCTTATACATACTTGTATTTCTATTGGAAGTCTGGAAGACTCTGATAGGTTTAAGTGCTGAACAAATTTGGACTACATAATAGGTCCAGAAAGGCCAATAGATCCAATTAAAGGCTCTGCTTGTTCACACAAAATGTTTTGTCTGTAAATAGCACATTTTGCATAAGAACTCTCAGGAAATGAATTATATGCTGATAAAAGGTTCTGTGGAAAAATATTTATTTTCTGGCATCTGATATATGTAAATGGTAACTTTGTCATATCTGTTGTTGAAAATATCAGGCAATTCATTGGTTGAAATCATATTATTGGGAGCCTCAGACTGAACAGATTCCATTCCAGAGAGATGGAACTGCTAAAATCAGGAAGGAAATCAAATCAAAATTCCGAGAACTAGCATCGTGCTTGAAAGTCAGGCAGAGTCCCCAACCTGATGCTCCACTAATCAAAGGAAAACGTATGTATAGAACTCTTTCTTTTGACATTTCTTTGATTTAGGATGCCTTATATAAATGCTTTTCTATAACTTCTCTATTATACTGGATGACCTTGTGAAAGAGCTTGCCTAGGGCTTAAAGGCTCAGGCTATTGTTTGTGGAGTTTCCTGCTACTAAACGTTATGGCTTTTGTCCATTGTAAACATTCGTAAAGATGTAGATTTATTTAGTATTATCAGTACTTATACCATTTTCATCTAAAACTTATCTCTTTTTTTTTAAGAAACATGTGCTTGCATGAGCGAAGGTAGTATTATAGTGTTTGAAGTGAAAAGAGAATGTTGTAATTAGAAGTTGTGCAGTTGTTGAATTGGTTTTGAAGCTTTCAGTTTAATGTTGATTCTCTTTGGGTCTACAAATTAAATAAAAATGCTGTTTCGGTTATCATACCTGGTAGATAATGTGAACCTTCATTTGTTATTACATGCTTAAGTTAATTTACCATGTTGTATCGTATAATTTTCAAACCATAATTGTTACCACTAGGATTTTTTCGTTCTTATTGAGCATCGCCTTTGTAGGTGGCCAACATCGGGAACAGCTTTGTGGCCGCAATAAGTTTTTCTCACTTATGGCCAGCAAGCTGTCTTTGTCCAAATCTGGGGGTAAGACAATATGCTCTGATTTTTTTTTTTCTCAGAGAATTTTGACAGATGTCAAATGCAGTGGTAATATGAATTTTTCCACGTCTGCGAACATTAGATGCAGTCCAATTTTTTCTCATGGTGATCAGTTTCTGTTGAGAAAAGAGTAACAAACTATATTAGTGATTTCAGTTTGCATTGTGAAATTATATATCTATTTAAAGAGGACTGAGAAAGAAAGGGAAAAAAAATTGTTCTTAAATGATGAAGATGAAGTTTATCACTCACTAGTATGTAAATGTTGCACCTATTAATAGAAGGAAATAGGGATATTTGGTTTGTTAACATGGAAAATAAAAATCTAGAACTTAAATAGACGGTTTGTTAAAATTAGTTACTAATATGATATCTATGCTTAGCAAACATCTGTGCGACACTGACTATGCCATATATGAAAATAATATTGAGCTGGACATCATTTCTCCTGAAAGAATATAGTGCTGTGTGAATGACAAGCATATGCCTTATGTCTTGGTTGATGCTCGTTCTAACTTGTGAGATGATCTCATTTGATTTTATTCAGAGAGTGACAGGAGAGTTTTTATTCTTCAAATGAGTTGCTAATCCTGTAGACTGACTGTAACCAAGTTCACCTATGAGGATAGCTTGTGTGCATCTAGAAACAATAGATATTGAGATAATTTTAATTGTAACTCTATATGATAATCTAAGATTTATATATTGTTGGATATCTGGCAAAAGTTGATTATATATTTTTATCTATCAAAAATCATTTACATTGTAATGCATGACGATGGCTGCATAGTTTTATATTTAAATCCCTCTAAGGTTGCAATAAAGGATGTGGATTTGATATTCTAGTTCAAGTTATATGCATCAATGAAAATTAAATCATGACATTCCTGCTGGAAGTGTGTAATTTCAAATAAATGCTCTAGGAATTGGTTGAAACGTATTCTTTTTCTCCTTCTTAATAAGTTCAAATCCTTATTGTCTGAAAATGATTGTTTCTCTGCAAAACCTTATCTTTGTTTCTATGTCAACATATGAGCGTATTAAAATGTTTTGAGCTATCCAAACACAATATACACTTATTTCATGTTAGTTTACAAAAAGCGCTTACATGTATACTCAGTAGAATTTGGCATTCATACCCTTGTTTACTGTTCAAGTTCGGTGTTCTTGGTTAAAATGTTTACTATGTGTACACAAATATTCATGCATAATTCTATTCTTTATTAGAGCTTTTGCATTTATCTTAAATATTCAAATATTCTAAATGCATATGTTCTGAAACAATGAGGCATGCATAGATGAACTGTTATTATGTGAGAAGACTATCTTTAAATATGCTGACGATGCCTGCACATTTTCAGGTTCCAAGAAGCATAGTATGAAGACCTTGAAAACTCTCGTTCATTTGTATTCTTCCTTCTCATCAGAAGTACTATCTGTATTGCTGGAGTTGTTGCTCAAGGCTCTGGATTCTTCAAACTTGGTGCAGCTTCCTAAAGATGATGAAATTGGCCAAGACATACACACACTGTTGGATCATTGGAAGCTTGTGATAACAAAATTATCAAACAAGGAACCAGAAATAATTCCAATGCTTCTCAAGGCTGTTCTAGATATGATCGAGACTCGAGAAGCATTGAAATATGAAATAGGTAACTGCAAACAGAACCTTCTTGTGCAGTCTTCCCCCCCCCCCCCCCCCCTCGAGAAGCATTGAAATATGAAAAAATAGGGTACTGCAAACAGAAACCTTTTCTTGTGCAGTATCCTTCCCCCTGCCCCTACCCCCCACTTCACCTTCCCTCTTTTTTTCTGTTTACTTTCAAGTATTTAGATTGCTTTGAATGTAGATGGCAAGGGGACTACTGCAATTAAATCCTTCCCCCCCCCCCCCACCACCTTCTCTTTTTCTGTTTACTTTCAAGTATGTTAGGATTGCTTGATGTAGATGGCAAGGGGCTACTGCAATATCCTTGATGTTTTCAAAAATTTTGCATACTTGTTGACTTTTGTGGAAATTTTATCTAGGAACATACTCTACATCAATGGAGTCTACAGCAGGAACTTTCAAGGTTGAACAACTTTCTTCTTTGTTTGAATGGCTTGTTGAACTACTTAAATCACTGAATCCATTTTGCCAAAAAGATGCCAAAGTGAAAAATGAAGTCTCTGCTACAGAAATGAATATGTCAAATCCAATTCTGATGGAAGTGATACGAAAATGTCTTGTGATATCATCATATGGCAACAAGCAGTTGATGGATTCGGCACTACATCTTGCTGAGCTTATAGGCAATAACCTTTTGATAAAGAAACTTTCCAAAGTGAGTTTTCTTGGACTATCAGATTCAGCCGACACTGAAGAAAATTATTCTTTTAAGAGTTTCAGTAACATGCTTGTCCAGCAAGATGAGTCTATCCATAAAGCTGCTGATAAGCTAGAGCTGATTAAACATTGTATAGCTAAGCGAAGAATTGTGAAGACTTTGGCCGGTGATTCAGTAATTGCAAGCAGATGGACTGTGGCGAAATCATGGAACCCATGTCCAATAGGTATGTTGCCTCAGGATCTTGGGTCTTCTGGCCGTCTTCCTGTCCTTGACCAAGATAATGTCGATACCAAATTTGTGGATTCATTGGAAAGGACACAAACCTCAGAACTGCGACAATGTAGTGATGCAGAAGAACCTAGCTCTGATATTCATTGTAATAAAACAGATGTTGAGAAGGCAAGTGGTAAGCGAGAAGCTTGTTTTGATATTTGTTTATTGGACAGGTCGAATGTTAAGAAGATAAGAGTGACTAGAGAAAGTGGTGAATCAGACGAAGATGTTTTGTTCCCAACAGACGTCGAAGGCTGTCTAATTGTAAATGGAGTCTGGAAGAAAATCAAGGAAGAGGAGCTACTCGCAATTAAGTCTAGTGTAAGGATTCTGGTTTAGTTGCTTCTTTATTTATGAGCCTAGTTTATTGATGGCATTCATTTATGATGATAAACCTAGCATTAGGAAAACTGACCTATGGACACACGCATACAAGCATAAACACAAAGTATGTAGCATTGAAGTAGGACTGTAAAAGAAACCTGTTGCAGACACATACATACATAACTATCAGTAGGTATCTCCGTGCACTGATACATGCGTACATGCTTCGTTTAAGATCTCTTTCGGTGCTGTTGGCAACGGAGTGATACATTTTGGTTTGAGGAGTTTCATTTATGGAACTGATTTTACTGTTACATTTGTGAAGCCCTAGTAAACTGGTTTTATCCTGACAAGCTGGTAAGGCTTTATGCTTTAATTGGTATTCCTCTTTTATGTCTTTTTACAGCCTTGTTAATAGAGTTAAAACTGTTTGCTCAGCTTAGGGAATGAGCTACAAATCCAGGCTAATTTGGGTTTTGCGAGTCTGAAATTGAAGGGATGTGGCTCATCAAGTTGTGCCATGTCTGAACTTAAATTTGAGGGAAAAAAAAAAAAAAAGAAGAGAGGTTAAAATTGACCTCTTTGGCCTTTTTGATCCATTTTTTAGTTAACATAATAAAATTTATTTCTCCCTTTTTTTAAAATAATAAATAATAAATAAAATTCAAAATTTTCTTTTAAAAATTAAACTAACCTAATCTTTCTCTCTCTTCTCCATTAAATCCTACCTTAATTTAATTTTAATAGAATATACCAATTATAGAGAGTTCACCCAAATTAAAAAACTATATAGTTACAAATTTGTTTCGAAATCCATCAAATTACTTAATTTGTCAGTCAAGCAACAATTGTTCGGTAGGAATGGTAATTTGGCGCCAAACCGACTCGATCCGCCCAGACCCTGATATTGTGCAGGTGGCATTCTATATTTCCATGTCTAAGTGTTTTTTTTAATAAAAAATGTAAGCATATTATTAAACTTATATTTGTAACTTATAATTTATTTTTTAATAAAGAAATTTATATTTATAATGATATATTGAAATAAATAAATAAATAAATAAATAAAAAAAAACCTCCCCTGAGAAATCCGCCCTCTCCTAATCCTCGGCAAGTAAATGCCCTGTACCGTCTTATAGATTTAGGGCTTGGGTATATAATAGCACTTTGAGAGTTTTTTTTTTAAATTTTTAATTTTTAAATATTTTTTATTAGTTAAAGAATATTATTTTATTTTATTTTTTCCATAAAAATTGGAATAAATTGAACAAGAATACAAATTTATGTACTAAATTGATTAAAAAGGTCATTTTTAATTTTTTTTCCCTCAAGTTTTAGTTCAGGACTCAAATTGGACTTTATAAAAAAAAAGTTTGAAAATTTTTTAAAGAACAATGTATTTAATTGCAAGATTCAAAATTTTTTTTCTTGCTTGACATGTAAAATTCCTTTTCAATTTCGATATAATAAGTTCACATTAATAATTTGAAATGTTTAATTTTAAAATGGAAATAAATACATAAAAGAATTTAAAATGGAAATAAATAAACACATAAAAAAATAAAAGCAAAGGGTATGTTTGACTACTCACCATCAAACTTGGGCCCACTATTGAAATGTACTGCACCGTTTCATCATGCGATAAGATCAAGTGGTGGAGGAAAGCCCGGCAGGGGCGACCTGAGAACACATAGGAACACAGAATTATAAACCACTGGAAGATAAGGGTTATATGTGAGGGTGTCCACATGTGATCTCAGGTCGCTCCTGTAGGAATCCTCCACGTGTAATGGTTACCGACATTATGTTTGGAAACGGGTGATTTTGTGGGAGGAAATAAAATATAGGAGAAAAATGCCTGGAATTCTCGCTTTTGCTTATTTAGAACAAGTGAAAAAATTTGGGAGGAAAGAAAATTCCATTATTTGTAAGGAAATAGAAGAATGATATTTTTTTTTTCTTTCCAACCAAACATAAAGTGAAAAATAAGAAGAAAAAATAAATAGTAACAATCTTCTTTTATTTTCCTTCGTATTTTCCTTCATCTCTTATTTTTCTTTCCTCCCTTTTTCAAACATAGCATGAGAATAATTTTAGAATGGATTTTTGCTAAGAAATAAGTAATTGATTCCGAGTTATTTGCTAACATATATACATAATAAGCACATATATGATTTAGTACTAGTTCTAAATGTAGTACACACATCATGGTAGTACTCGCTAGCTGTTAGCAATTGGTTTACACTTCATAGTTGTACAACAATTGTACTCCTTTGGTTTAACTTCATATGTACTTTTAACTAGACTGCATCCACTCACGACTATGACTCGGTTCATAATGCAGGTTGGATGTGTAAAAAAAATTCTCGAGTTCGATTCTAACTAAATTCATCTGAAAGGAATGAAAAGTCTTAACTCTGACTGAGCCTTGAGCCGAATTAGGTAGACACTCCAAACACGGAGGGTGAGTAGATATTTTGCTTCTAACCAAACAATCAAATCGAACCAAATCAGTGCTATTCTGTTCGATTTGATTTGGCTTTATTAAACAAAATCAGTTTGTTTCATTTAGTTAAAATATGAAGTTTCTTTTCAATTTTAATTTTTTTTTTAGAAAACTGAGTAGATTGAAACAATCTAATTAGTGTTTCTATCAGTTTAAATAAAAAAATTAAACCGAATTGATGTGATTTTGATAATTTTAATTCGGTTTTTCAGCTAAATCAATCTTTTTAGAAAGGTAAAAATTGTGATTTTTATTGTTTTGATTCAACTAAGTTTTTTATCAAGAAAACCAAAATATTTGAATTTGATTTGGTTATCCATACTTAATCGGTTCAGTTTGGTTATATATTTTTAAAATTCAGTTTTTCAATTATGGTGGTTTAGTTCAATTGAACAGATGCTCACTCATATTGGATACAATAGGGTTAAACCGAATTGAATTCACTAATTTGATCCATTTTGGTTTTTAAACATTGAAATTATAGAAAAAAATTTTCAATACGGTTCTATTCTTCAAAATATTAAAAAAGCAAGTAAAAGTTGAAAAATGAGCCGAACTGAATTAAACCAATCAATTTGAGTTGATTTTTCAGTTTATTCATTTTGAGCTGATTGAATTCGGTTTGAACTGATTGAATTTGGTTTGAACCAAACTCATAGAAATTCAGATGATTGTATCTGTAGTAGTTGTAGTACATTCCAATTGTTTAGGACGTACGACTGATGACCAAAGATTGTTTTGAAAGGAAAGTCCAAAGTGGCATCGTACCCATCAAATGTTTGTTTTGAAAGCTAAGTATAATTAATCTTTAATATCTTTTTATTATTATTATTTTTTGATTAATATCTTTTTATTAATCTCTAACAAAATAATATTTTATTTTTATTATATTCTGTTCCGATTCAATCTTTCTATATGGTATTACTATTTCATTGTATAACTTTTTTCCTTAATCTCGAGATCTCATTTTTAACTTTGAGTTTATCTAATCTGAACTCTAAAATTTTTTTTTTTTTTTGGAAAACTCTAAAATAAGTTAAGTTGTCCTATTTCACTAGACTAAAATGGCTTCGTACCCATCAAATGTTTGTTTTGAAAGCTAAGTATAATTAATCTCTAATATCTGATTATTATTATTTTTTGATTAATATCTTTTTATTAATCTCTAACAATATAATATTTTATTTTTATTAGATTCTGTTCCAATTCAATTTTTTTATATGGTATCACTGTTTCGTTGTATAACTTTTCCTTAGTCTGGTGATCTCATTTTTAACTTTGAATTTATCTAGTTTGAAATCTAAATTTTTTTTTTAAAAGGAAAACTCTAAAATAAGTTAAGTTGTCCTATTTCACTAGACGAAAGGAATGTTCGGCAAAATTAGCTATTTTAATAGCTGTTAACTGTTTTAGTAGCGTTTAATTATTAGTTATTTAAATATGTTTTTATAAAAACACTGTAAGGTAAACGTTACATTAATTAAGTTTTTATAAAATATTAACATAATTTCTAAAAGTTAGTTCAAACGCGACATTACTAAACAACCTTTTAAGAAGTATTTAGTATTTTGACAAGTCAAACGCTAAAAGCTATTTAAAAAACTGTTGTCGAATACTGTCTAAATTGATCCATAGTATAGTCTTATCATTTATAAGAATAAATTATTTTTAGTAATGGATAATTTATTTTCTACTTTATAAGAATAATAAATTGATCCATAATAAATTATTTATAAGAACACGGCCTAAATTGATTCAGAGAATTATTTAATTTCTTACTTTTCAGGTGCCAAATAAAGTTATGTTAATGGATAGCACTCACGGGTGGAACTATAACTTAGGACGGTCCCAAGTTTTTCAAAATTAAATTTCTATAAATTTTCAGAAATATGCATCAATATTTTAAAATTAACATTTTGCCCTTATTTTTCAAAAAATATAAACATTGGTCCCTCAAATCTTGTAAACTTTTACTTATTTATTTTCCTTTGGACAATAGATACATGATCTTAAGTTCTCTTGAATTTTTTATTTGTCATTTATGTATGATCTCATATAGTTTTATAGAATTAATTTACAGCACAGCAAAATTTGCAACAATTATTTAAATATATTCTAGCGTAGAAAACAAAATTTGACATTTTCTAAACAAATTATCTATTTTTTAAGAATATAATTTATTTCAAAATTTTATTTAATTATATTATAATTTATTTTTTTATTTTCTGATATGAGATTTGCGAAACGAGACTCTCGGATTCGAATCCTTCTCATTAATTTGATAATTATTATATTGATATAAGTGAAGAAAATAAATGAAGGTAACATGACTACAACTTTGCCTGTAACTTTTGAGGTATTGAACCAAAAAGCTGAGTCTATATAGCAGAGTTAGGCAGTAATACCATATAGGGCTTATTCTTTTCAGTTTTCACCACTGAAGTCCATATTAGAAATTTTCCCATTAAAAAATAAAATAAAATAACACTATAAGACAAATAAGATGTGCTTGATTTTCAGGACTGGAAAAAGAAAATAAAAAATCTTTTACCAACTTTAGATGGAATAAAAATAGATAATATTGATCCTACAAATACTTGTAAGGAGGGATGGAAGTGTTACATGTATTTTAGAATTTCCGTCTAAGGATACGAGTAGTTATAAATGTATTTGAGATGGGTATGGGTAATAAAGTTACTATCTGTAATAAATATAGATAGGAGACAGATATAGATCTTTGGACCTATTAACCTATATTAAGCAAGTTTGGTAGCAAATATTCGTAGTATTCTATCTATTATCGGTAAAAAATGTATTTTAAATAAGTTTCGATTTAGATATTTTAATATTCACATATACTCTATTCATTTAAGGAGTATTTTAAACAAGTCT